TTAGCACCCTGTTCTATAATATGCTTTGAGCTGCTTTATAAGTCAGATCGCTACTGATTTGCAGCAAAGGCCCAGGGTTTTCAGGAAAGATCTCCCAGTAATGGGCCTCACATTGGTCTGTCTAGCTCATATAGCTCAGTTCACTCCAAATTGGACTCACTCAGAAACAGGCCAAGCGGACGTATCTGATTACACAGCATTTCACGTCCCAGTGGGCTAGAGTGCATGCCATGTGCCACGGGCTCATGTTCTGACTTGGTGCCCTGTCTCAGTGCCAGCTCCCATTTTAGGCTTCCAGGTTCATCCTTCAAAGGGTTGGAAACAGCATCACAATTTCATTCTCTCAGGAGATTTCTCACCCTTGACAAGCCTGCAGGACAGACAGACCTGACCTCCATGGCCCTTTGTCCTTCAGCCATTATTAAATGAATATTCACTCTGCAGAGCATCACACCAGGCATCGTGAAAAATTATAGAAGAAGGAGGTGATGCACTCCTGGCCTTTGAGCATCTTATCAACTTACAGGAAAGACAGAAACAGCATGCAACAAAATATATGAAAACTTAAATGTCAGCTGGATATATAGAGTTATTTATAAATTCAATTGACATAGCCTGGAAATACATATTTATATATACATATATCTATATGTACATAAATTTAAGGCATTTCTGAAGTGACTAGAATTAGAAAAAGGTAGTTTTCTATTAGCTTAGTTTTTGTCCCCCAGAAGTGACCCTGAGACAAGGACTTGAGGGCTGGTAGTTTATTTGGGAGGTATAGGAAATGCCAGGAAGAAGAGAGGGAAAGAATGGCAGGGAAAGGAAGGCAGCCAACAAAGGGTATGATATTGAGCCAGCTGTAAGTATGCACAGCTGGAGCTAAAGCCTATGGAAAAGTTCTGGGAAATAATTTAGAACATTTGCCCTAGACTCCCATCAGTCACTGGTTGAGGACTCCCTTCATGGCGAGTTAATACTCTGATATTTATAGACCACCATGCTCAGACAGTGTAGTTTCTCGAAAAACAATACAAAACAAACATCATGGAAGGATATGCAGTTAACGGCAGTTCACAGCTGGTCTTGGTAAGACCTGAGGGATACGGTAAGAAACCAGCATTCTCTGCTACATTCACAGATATTGGTGAGAGAAATGGTTTTGAAAGGAAACAGGGATTTTGAATATAAGGAAGCCAGTGTCTCTAAAAATCCAAAAGTAATGGTGGGATGACATTCAAGCCACTCTGATAGGCTTCCTTATACAAGTTCCTCAAAAGAGTATGCCTCAAGTGGCATAGGGAAAAAGGTCGGGGTGACTAGCTGAATCAGACTGAAAATGAGGAGCAACTTGAGGTACAAGGATTCAGGTTGTGATGATTGCCCTAAGTTAGGATTCCCTGTGATTCACTGGACATGTCTCCGCTGCAAACCCTATTCAGAGTAGTAAGTAGGGTAGCCACACTGGGTTGGGAAGCAATTACTTTATCTGTGTTATGAAGTCCAGACACACCACAGGAAACATTTCAGAAGAATGAGAGCTGAGTGTTATTAGAGATGCAATGGGTCAACAAGTCCTTCCTTCAACTCACCTAGCTCAAAGAGGTGGATGGTGGCCAATAAGCACTGGAGGTTTTATACTAGGTCTCCTGTGTTTTTAAAGGATAAGACTGACAGCACTGGGGCAGTGGGCATGGGGGTGCTCATGATTAGTAATACCTCTAAAGTAGATCTGATATAATACAATCTTTTCTTGAATTGCATTGTATATATAGATCTTCTCTAAGGAGCTGGTAGATGGGAAGTTAACACTGTCAAAGGAAGAAACACTGCAGAGGACTCTTGTTCATCTGGCACTGGTTAGTTATTGACATATTGCTACAGAAGGCCTGTAGCCTAGGCTTTAGCAAATGCCTCTTACAAGGACTCCTGTGTGTCAGTCTTTGTTAATGGAAATGCCTATGTGTTTTATGTAACTTTTAGCTGCCCTGGAAGATGTGCCCAGGAATGAGCTTTCTGAGACTGCATCTCAGGGTTAATTATTATTTGATATATAAAATCATACTGATATGGTTTGTCTGTGTCCCCACCCAAATCTCATCTTGAATTGCAGTTCCCATGATCCCCATGTGTTGTGAGAGGGACCCAGTGGGAAATAATTGAATCCTGGGGGCAGTTACCCTCATGCTGTTCTTTTGATAATGTGTGAGTTGTGTTGAGATCTGATGGTTTTATAAGGGGTTTTTCTCCCTTTGCTTAGCATTTCTGTCTCTTGCTGCCATGTGAAGGAAAATGTGTTTGCTTCCCCTTCCGGCATCATTTTAAGTTTTCTGAGGGCTCCCCAGTCTTGTGTATTTCTTTATAGCAGTGTGAGAACAGACTAATGCAGTAAATTGGTACTACAGAGACTGAGTGTTGCTATAAGGATACCCAAAAATGCGAAAGCAACTTTGGAATTGGGTAACAGGCAGAGGTTGGAACAGTTTGGAGGAGTCAGTGGAAGGTAGGAAGATGTGGAAAAGTTTGAAGCTTCCTAGAGACTTGTTGAACGGCTTTGACCAAAATGCTGATAGTGATATGGACAATTAAGTCTAGGCTGAGGTGGTCTCAGAGGGAGATGAAGAACTCCTTGGGAACTAGAGCAAAGGTTACTCTTGCTATGCTTTAGCAAAGAGACTACTGGCATTTTGCCCCTGCCCTAGAGATCTATGGAACTTTGAACTTGAGAGAGATGATTTGAAATTGGAACGTACATTTAGAGGGAAGCAAAGAAAACAATATTGTCATTAAATAAAAATCATCCATATTTATTTATTTTAAAAAAACGTTTGAAAAATTTGCAGCCTGATAATGCAATAGAAAAAAAAACTATGTTCTTGAGAGAAAGTCAAGCTGGCTGTAGAAATTTGCATAAGTAACAAGGAACCAAATTTTAATCCCCAAGACAATAGGAAAAATGTCTCCAAGACATGTGAGAACTCTTTATAGCAGCTCCTTCCATCACAGTCCCAGAGGCCTAGGGGGCAAAAATGGGTTAGTAGGCCAGGTCCAGGACCCACTGCTGTGTGCAGCCTAGGAACTTGATGCCCTGAGTCCCAGATGCTCCAGCAGTGGCTAAAAGGGGCCAAGGAACAGCTCAGGCTGTTGCTTCAGAGGGTGCAAGCCCCAAGCCTTGGCAGCCTCCATGTGGTGTTGGGCCTGTAGGTGTACAGAAGACAAAAATTGAGGTTTGGGAACCTCTGCTTAGATTTCAGAGGATGTATGGAAACGCCTGGATGTCCAGGCAGAGGTGTGCTGCAGGTGCAGCGCTCTCATGGAGATCCTCTGCTAGGGCAGTGCAGAAGGGAAATGTAGGTTGGAGCCCTTACACAGAATCCCCACTGGGGCACTGCCTAATGCAGATGTGAGAGGAGGGCCACTGTCCTCTAGACCCCAGAATAATAGATCCACAAACAGCTCATGCTGCGTACCTGGAAATGTCACAGAAGCTCAATGCCAGCCCATGAAAGCAGTTGGGAGGGGGATGTACCCTGCAAAGCAACAAAGATGGACCTGCCCAGGGCTGTGGGAGCCTCTGACATCATTGTTCCTGGATATGAGACGTGGAATCAAAGGAGATCATTTTGGAACATTATAGTTTAATGACTGCCCTACTGGATTCTGGACTTGTGTGGGGCCTGGCCTCTTTGTTTTGGCCAATATCTTTTATTTGGAATGGGAGTATTTACCCAGTGCCTATACCCCCATTGTATCTAGGAAGTAACTTACGTGCTTTCAATTTTACAGACTCCTAGGCAGAAGGGACTTGCCTTGTCTCAGATGAGAATTTGTATTCAAACTTTTGGGTTAATGCTGGAATGAACTAAGACTTTGGAGGACTGTTGGAAAGGTATAATTGTGTTTTGTAATCTGAGGACATAATTTGGGAGGGGCCAGGGGCAGAATGATATAATTTGGCTGTGTCCCCACCCAAATCTCATCTTGAATTGTACTTTCCATAATCCCCATATGTCATGCAAGAGACCCAGTGAGAGGTAATTTAATCATCAGGGAGGTTATCTCCATGCTGTTCTCTTTATAATGAGTGAGTTCTCACGAGATATGATGGTTTTTTTTTAAGGGGTTTTTCCCTCTTTGCTTGGCACGTCTCTCTCCTGTTGCCATGTGAAGAATGACATTTTTGCTTCTCCTTCTGCCATGATTGTAAGTTTCCTGAGGCCTCCCCAGCCATGTGGAACTGTGCGTCAATTAAACCTCTTTCTTTTATAAATTACCCAGTCTTGGGAATTTCTTCATAGCAGTGTGAGAATGGAATAATACAGATATCATCTGATGTGCCCTCTTTTTTCCTATATTCTATTTAGATATGAAGCAGAGAATATCTAGAACAGAAATGTCAGGATACATTAATAATTTATTGACAGTTTTTATCTGCAAAAATATGTTGGGCAGTATTATGATGCTCACATGCATTTTCATGTACTCAGTAACACAAAAAGGTATATCAGGGTGGATCTAGTCAGGAGAGAAAAGCTAAACCAATTACTTTAATGGAGGGAATTAATATAAAGAATTGTAACCAGGCATTGAATGGCTGAAGAGGCACAAATGGATACAGAGGTTCACAGTGGTAGTAAAATGTGGGAAGCAGCTATGCTACCACAGCTGGTGAGTACGGGGACAATGAGACTTAAAAATTGGATGACAGCCCCTCCAGAGGGTGAACTCAGCCATCTTAATATAGGGCATTGGATGGTAGGCTAGTGTCTCTCAGCAGGGACACAAGAAAACAGATGCTGGAAATCCAGAGAACCTACAAGGTTGAATCACTTGCTCTTACTAGAACCAGCTGCTTCTGTCAGGGAAGAATTATTACTTGGGCAATGCTGATGAAAAGAAAGCAAACAAGGATCTGTGTTCTTCTCTTTAAGACAGACAGACAGACACACACACACACACACACACACACACACACACACACACACAGAGGGCAGAAAGAGGAAGAATGTGTACTAGTGAGAGCACTAGCAGGATCAAAATACACACAAGAGCTGGCTGAGATAAGGAAGGTTGCTACTCAGTTATTAAAATAATCATAACAGTAGGAACTTTATTCAGGGGAAATAATATTAAGGACTCTTATTTGTCTAGAGGATGGGGATTAGTTGGGTTCTAAAGTCGGAATTAGGAGAAATCACAAATAAACACTAGAATTAAACACTGACACTGTGAGAGCTTGTTGGAATGAAAAAAATAGATTGATGTCTCTTTGCTCATGCTTACTGTGTGATATACATATGTATACTGAGTGAAATACAGGTGGAAAATGTTCTCCTTCTGTCTATGTTATTCGTTTCTCTCCCATCCTTCTGCATGATAACCAAGCATTGAGAGAGGAATTCACATAAGTTATGTGTATACAACTTTGACTTAAATTATACCAGGCATGTGCTAAGTACCCTATGTCATGTGCCATATTACCTGATGATTACATTGATCCTAGAAATTATATTATTATTCCTCTATAACAGAAAAGAGATTGGATGTTCAGGAAAGTTAAATTAACTAATGTGCTATGGGCACAGCTGGTGAAAAATAGGACCTTAATTTCAAATATTTTGCCTAAAAGCCTATAGTCTTATGCTCTCTTATAATCTTTTTCTTCACTCAATGATTCTGACTTGACTTCATGTATGCAGTGAATTATATATCATCTCTAATAGCAAGAATTGAAACCTACATGAAATGATATCCAAAATATAGTAAACTTTCACTATCTAATATGGTAGTGCAAGTTTACCATACCTGTACATATAGCTATTTAAGCTCAAATTAATTAAGATTAAGTAAAATTTGAAATTTAGTTTCTTAATTATAGTAGTTTCATTTCAGGAACTCAAAGCTACCAGTGGCTAGTGACTTCTGTATTAGACAGCACAGAACATTTCCATCATGGCATGAAGCTCTGCAATAGAACTATAGTGAATGAATGATCAAAGTATAACTCAAAAACCTTGTTTCCAACTCCAACGTTGTAAACAAGTCTACAAAATAACTGGCTAGTATCATGATGGCAGCATCAAGTCCACATATAACAATACTACTAACCTTAAATGTAAATGAGCTAAACGCTCCAGTTAAAAGACACAAAATGGCAATCTGAATATAGAACCAAGACCCATCAGTATGCAGTCTTCAAGAGACCCATCTCACATACAAAGACACACATAGGCTCAAAATAAAGTGATGGAGGAAATTTTACCAAGCAAATGCAAAACAGAAAAAAGCAAGGGTTGTAATCCTGATTTCTGGCAAAATAAACTTTAAACTGCCAAAGACCAAAAAAGACAAAGAAGGGCATTATGTAATGGTAAAGGATTCAATTCAACAAGAAGAGCTAACCATCCTAAATATATATGTAACCAACACAGGAACACTCAGGTTCACAAAGTAAGTTCTTAGAGACCTTCAAAGAGACTTAGACTCTCACACAGAAGTAGTAGGAGATTTAACACCACACTAACAATATTAGACAGATCATATAGAGAGAAAATTAACTAAGATATTCAGGACCTGAATTCAGCTCTGCATTAAGTTGACCTGATAGATATCTACAGAATCTTCACCCCAAAACAACAGAATGTACATTCTTCTCATCACTTACTCTAAAATTGACCACATAATTAGAAGTAAGACTCTCTTCATGACACTCTAAAATTGACCATATAATTGGAAGTGAAACTCTCCTCAGCAAATGTAAAAGAACTGAAATCATAACAACCCTTCTATCAGACCATAGGGGAATCAAATTAGAACCCAAGATTAAGAAATTCACTCAAAACCACACAACTATGTGGAAATTGAACAACCTGCTTCTGAATGACTCCTTGGTAAATAATGAAATTAAGGCAGAAATCAAGAAGTTCTTTGAAACTAATGAGAACAAAGATACAATGTACCAGAATCTCTGGCTGCAGCCAAGGCAGAGTTTAGAGAGAGATTTATAGCACTAAATGCCCACATCCAAAAGCTAGAAAGATCTCAAGTTAACAACCTAAAATCAATTAAAACAACTAGAGAACCGAGAGCAAACAAACCACAAAGATAGAAAAAGACATGAAATAACCAAGAACAGAGCTGAACTGAAGGATATAGACACATGAAAAACACTTCAAAGAATCAATGAAACCAGGAGCTGGGTTTTTGAAAAAAATTAATAAAATAGATAAACCCCTAGCTAGACTAATAAAGAAGAAAAGAAAGAAAAAATCAAATAAACACAATTAGAAATGGTAAGGGGAATATCCCCCTGACCTTACAGAAATACAAACAAACCATTAAAAAATACTATAAACACGTCAATGCACATAAACGAGAAAATGTAGAAGAAATGGATAAATTCCTGGATATATACACCCTCTCAAGCCTGAACCAGAAAGAAATTCTATCCCTGAATAGACCAATAATGAGTTTTGAAAATTGAGGCAGTAACAAATAGCCTACTGACTGAAAAAAGCCTAGGACCAGATGGATTCACAGCTGATTTCTACCAGAGGTACAAAGAAGAGCTGACACCATTCCTACTGAAACTATTCCAAAAAACTGAAAAGGAGGAACTCTTCTTTAACTCGTTCTATGAGGCCAGCATCATCCTGATACCAAAACCTGGCAGAGATACAACGAAAAAATAGAAAGCTTTATGCTAGTATCCTTAATGACTATCGATGTGAAAACTGTCAACAAAATCCTGGCAAGCTGAATCCAGCAGCACATTAAAAAGCTTATCCACCACAATCAAGGAGACTTCATCCCTGGGTTGCAAGGTAGTTCAACATATGCAAATCAGTAAATATGATTCATCACATAAACAGGGCTAAAGACAAAAGCCACATGATTATCTGAATAGATGCATAAAAGGCCTTTGATGAAAATTAACATTCCTTCATTTTAAAAACTCTTAATAAACTAGTTATTGAAGGGACATACCTCAAAATAATAACAACCCATGTATGACAAACCCACAGCCAATGTCATACTGAATGGGCGAAAGCTGAAAGCATTCCCCCTGAAAACCAGCAGAAGACAAGGTTGCCGTATATCACCACTCCTGTTCAAGATAGTACTGGAAGTTCTGGCCAGGGGAATCAGGCAAGAGAAAGAAATAAAGAGTATTCAAATAGGAAGAGAGGAAGTCAGACTATCTTTGTTTGCAGATGACATGATCCTCTATCTGGAAAACCCATCTTCTCAGCCCAAGAGCTTCTTAAGCTGACAAGCAATTTCCACGAACTCTCAGGATATAAAGTTAATGCTAGTGCAAAAGTCACTAGCATTCCTATACACCACCAACAGACAAACCAAGAGCCAAATCACAAGTACACTTCCATTTACAACTGCCACAACAAGAATAAAATTCCTAGGAATATAGCTAACAAGGGAAGTGAAGGACCTCTTCAAGGAGAACTACAAACCACTGCTCAAAGAAATCAAAGACAGAACAAATGGAAAATCATTCATTCCATGTTCACAGAGAAAAAGAAGTAATATTGTGAAAATGGCCATACTGCCTAAAGCACTTTATAGATTCAGTGCTATTCCCATTAACTTACCACTGACATTCTTCACAAAATTATAAAAAAACTATTCTGAAATTTATACAAAACCAAAAAGAGCTTAAATGGTCAAGGGAATTCTAAGCAAAAAGAACAAAGCTGGAGGCATCACAGTACCCAACTTCAAACTACATCATAGGGCTCGGTAACCAGAACAGCCGGGTTCTGATACAAGAACAGACACATAGACCAATGAAACAGAATAGAGAACCCAGAAATAAGACCACATTCCTACAACCATCTGATCTTTGACAAACCTGACGAAAACAAGCAATGGGGAAGGAATTTCCTATTCAATAAACAGTGCTGGGAGAACTGGCTGCCATATGCAGAAAATTGAAATTAGATCCCTTCCTTACACCATATACAAAAATCAACTCAAGATGAATTAAAGAGTTAAAAGTAAAACCTACAACTATGAAAACCCTAGAAGAAAACCTTGGCAATACAATTCAGGGCATAGGCATAGGCAAAGATTTCATGATGAAGGTACTAAAAGCAATTGCAACAAAAGCAAAAATAGACACATGAGATCTAATTAAACTAAAGAGCTTCTGCACAGCAAAATAAACAATCAATAAATTAAACAGACAACTTAAAGAATGGGAGACAAATTTTGCAACATATCCATCTGACAAACATCTAATATCCAGCATTTATAAGGAACTTAAGTTTACAAGAAGAAAACAATCCCATTAAAAAGTGACAAAGGACAAGAACAGACATTTCTCAAAAGAAGACATACGTGTGGCCAACTAACATATGAAAAAATAACTCAACATCACTGATCATTAGAGAAATGTAATTCAAAACCACAATGAGATACCATCTCATACCAATCAGAATGGCTATTATTATTAGGTTGGTGTGAAAGTAATTGTGACTCTGTCATGGAAATTAATGGCAAAAGCCACAATTACTTTTGCACCAACCTTATAAAAAGTCAAAAAACAACACATGCTGGCAATGTTGTGGAGAAAAAGGAAATGCTTTTATACTGTTGGTAGGAATGTAAATTAGTTCAATCATTATGGAAGACTGTATGGCAATTCCTAAAAGGACCTTGAAGCAGAGTATCTTTCAACCCAGCAATCTCATTACTCAGTATATACCCAAAGTAATATAAATTGTTGTATTATAAAGATACATGTGTGTGCATATTTTCTGCCGCCCTATCTGCAATAGCATAGACATGGAATCAACCTAAATGCCATTAATGATAGACTAAAGAAAATTTGGCACATATACAGCATGGAACACTATGCAGCCGTAAAAAGATCATGTTCTTCATGGGGGCATGAATGGATTTGGAAACTTATCCTCAGCAAACTAACATAGGAACAGAAAACCAAACACCCTGTATTTTCACTTATAAGTGGGAGCTGAAAGATGAGAACACA